ATCTGCCTCGGGAGACGCGCACTACACTTGCACAACTTCGCTCCGGCTACTGCAGCAGGTTAAACTCCTACTTGAGTAGGCTGAATGAGGATGTGCCGAATGAATGTCCGGCATGCGGAGAGACCCCACATGACTCGAAACATCTCTTCGCATGCCCGGCAAACCCGACATCCCTAACGACCTTGTCCTTATGGGCAAACCCCGCAGAAGCTGCACGCTTCCTAGGGTTGCCGTTAGTGGAACTTGACGACAACGACTGAGATACCAACCGATCTGGGCGGGGTTGTTGTAGCCGCTACAACAACAACAACATGTTCAAAGTCAGAAGCGTTAACCACTGAGCTATGTACATCCCGTAAACTCTTGTTGCTAATTCATTTTTCCTTATTCAACCAACTACTATCAAGTGCAGCTGATTTGCCGCTATTTAAACTCGATAGCGTGGTTGTTGTTGTCAATTCTATACATCTATTTGCTTATGCAGCGTTTTGGCTGGATTTAAAATGCAACATTTAGCACTTTCGAACATATGTTTTCGAAGAGCGTTCATGCTACCGCATTTAGCAAATGTACATTTACGCGAGTTCGAAATCGTATGCTTTTAACAAACAGCCGTGTTCCAGTCGCTTATTCAGATCCGTATCTATTACGATAAATTCTCACGGAAAAGATAATGTGCAAAAACCCCTACTGAAAAGGAAAAAATAAATTCTAAACCGAAAATTCAATACAAAAACTTGAATTGTTTTAACCATAACCGAACGTTTATTTGTGTATAATTTCATTTGTCGGTGCTGTCAATTATAATTTCCATACTTAATTAGGAAACAAAATAAACAGAGTTGATCACAAATTAATCCAGATTTCTATCAGCATCATATCGATGTTGGATTTGCGTAACTTTTCTTTATCCAAATAATGTAAAATAATAAATAAAATCTCGATCGGCGATCACTGAAACGCAGCTAGCGACTGTATACTGGAAAACGCAATGTTGCCACTTTTTCTCATTAAACCATGTTCGAATCGTGGAAATTTTGGAAGATCACAGGGGGCTTTTAGCATTTAGATTCTTAATGCATAAATGGAGTTGCATTTGGGTGTCGAATTTTGTATGGATAAATATACATTTAGAAAGCATTTAGAGCTAAATGCGCTAAATGTGCTTTTACGCGTAAGCAAAAACAGCACATTATTTGCTTTTTTGTATAGTTTCAGGCAGGCTCTTCCTAAACTATGTATTTGTCAATGTTATTGTGGCTTATTAACATTTTATTTTTTAATATTTTTATTGAGCTTAGTACCACGATTGTTTATTAGGAAAAATTTAAAAAGCAACAAAGTCTAAGCGGTAGAAGTTATAGCAGCTATTTCGGAGATCACCACATCCGTCAGACTTCTTTTTTCTAGACTTCAGCAGGGATCGAACCTGCGTAATCGATGTTCAAAGTCAGAAGCGTTAACCACTGAGCTATGTACATCCCGTAAACTCTTGTTGCTAATTCATTTTTCCTTATTCAACCAACTACTATCAAGTGCAGCTGATTTGCCGCTATTTAAACTCGATAGCGTGGTTGTTGTCAATTCTATACATTCATTTGCTTATTTGCTTTTTTGTATAGTTTCAGGCAGGCTCTTCCTAAACTATTACTACGTTTATACGCACAGAATAATCGACTTAATTGAAAGCGCATTGACACCGTACACATTTCGGTCTAGTGTCTATATTTACGGCTTTATATCGGCATCAAAGTAACCGTCTTCAAAAGCAAACAAAATCAGCAGTTTTCATTTGACATTTTATAAGTTAACATAATGGGAAGTGATAAAAATCTAGTTTTATTCGGCATTATAAAATCGTGGCAAAGAAAAAGAACGATTATTATTAATCATCAGCATCGGTATGCGATTATTTCAGATCACCACATCTCCTCGTCAGACTTCTTTTTTCTAGACTTCAGCAGGAATCGAACCTGCTCGTTACTCAGTAACGAATACAACCCCTGACTCGAAGTACCGAATCGTTACTCACATAATAATCTCGTTACTCGCATGCTCCGTATATGCACCATCATCGTGAATCAATACAACACAACATATTGTGCGGTAACGAAACTTTTTCGTATCGATACTAAAGTGTGTTGCGTGTGTATGTACGTACATGCATGCATTATTCGTGTGAGGTACAAGCAGGGATGGAAATTCAAAATGTGCCTAATGGTCTCCAAAAATTGTGCCGAAAAGAATATGAAAGTGCCACAAAATTAAATGTCTTTTATAATAATTATTTCTTAAAATAAAAATTGTTAATTAACTAAATTATTACAGTAAATCACTTTTATGAGGGAATCTTTATAAGCGGCATACACGGTGCGTCTGAATCGCGAGTCGGTTTGGATGTGTCAAGTAAAAATAAATATGTGTTAGTTACACCGACATGACTCTGGTATGACTCTGAATGACTCAACTGTGTGTAGTCGAAAGGCGAGTGAACACGTACACAGTTGACTCGCGAGTCAGACGCACCGTCTATGTTACCTATTAGACATAAAACATAAATTCATAAATTTGGAATAATAAAAGCGGGGGATTTAATTCGGAATTTTCACTTAGTATAATTCTCCTTTCTGTGTGCCGAAGAAGGGGGGGCTGAACACATTTTGCAGATAACACCTTTCTGCGTAGGCGGCCTTCGGCCGCACTTAGGGATTATAACCCTCACTACGTAGAATTCTCCTTTCTGTGTTGCCGAAAAAAAGGGGCGGAACACCTTTTGCAAAGAACACCTTTCTGCGTAGGCGGCCTGCGACCGCACTTAGGGATTATAACCCTCACTACGTAGAATTCTTTCTATTGTATCGTTTTGTACGGTATGGCAACACATCTTAAGTGTCAGTTTGCAACCATGTGTTATTGTATCATGATTGTAAATATGGGTGCAATGTAATGTACTTACAAGTTAATAAAAGTTGGATTAAAGTGATTTATATACAAGATAAAATAAAATAAAAGTGTGTAAACTATTAGGTAGTGTTATGTGCATTTATATACAGTGCCGGACAAAAGTATTGGCACAAAGAATTTTTCGCAATATCTAAAAAGTTCGTCTTACACCAAAAAACATAAAAACTAAATCTCTAAATTTTGTGCAAAACTCTGGAAAATTCAATAAATTTGCATACTTATTTGCAACTTTCTATTCAGATTTTTTAGAAAAATTCTAAGTATGCCGTTTTATAGCTCAACTAATTTTAGTATAACAAAGCGCAAGCTTGAAGGTGCTAAAAACTCGCATTGATTTTTGGCAATTTTTTTTCAGTCAGGTTCTTCCGTACAAAGTATGTTCGACAATTATTTTTTGTATGGAGAAAATTAGCAACACCTTCTACTAAAAAAATTTCCAAAAATCAACGCAATTTTTTAGATACTTCAAACTTGCATTTTGTTATACTAAAATTTGTTGGGCTATAAAACTACATACTTAGAATTTCTCTAGAAAATCTGAATAAGAAGTTGCAAATTAGTATGCAAATTTATTGAATTTTCCTGAGTTTTGCACAAAGTTTACAGATTTTGTTTTTATGTTTTTTGGTGAAGTACGAACTATATTTTTATTAAAAAATATTGAAAATAAATTAGAATAAAAAACTTTGCCTATATTGCGAAAAATTCTCTGTGCCAATACTTTTGTCCGGCACTGTATATGAAAGTATGTGACAAATGCACTCTTTGATAAGGAAATCAAGTGGAACGTCTTAAGAAATTTTAACGACGAATAACTTATAGACAATTATATTGTTTATATTTTTTAGTTATACATGTTTTAGAGGATACCTCCCCTAACATCCTGACCAAGTTTCAATTGTTAATTCCACCTGGTTTTCTTAAAACACAAGGTGCGGCTGACTACCTTATTACCTACTACCTTACCAAATTAGGCTCTTTGAACGTTTATCTTAATTTTTATTAGTTTCGCCTATTATTTTCATTGATTATTTTTTAATTGATTTTAAATAAAAGTCTAATTCATGATTTAATAAACACAATAAATATACACAAATCGGCATTTCAAACTTTGTACAAAAATTATAAAAACTCAGCAGGTTTTCGCAACAAAATACTCTGAATTCAGAATTTTTAGGGAGATTCCAAGTTTTCGATGTTATGCATTTTTTCCATATAAAGTGTGTTCGAAATTTTTTTAAACGGATCAAAATGTATGACAGCGTCAGAAAAAATATCAAAAATGATCGGGATATTGCAGGAACTGCCACTTTCATTTAATAAATTATAAAACTGCAAACTTAGAATCCTTCCAAAAATTGTGAATTAAAAGCTTGTTGTGGCGAAAACTTACTTTTCGTACTACATATTCACAACAGAATTCAGCGGTTTGTAAATATTTCTCACAGCCCTTACTTTAATTTGTAAGTGCTTTTAATTTTCACTTCTTGTAATTTTTTAATCTATAATGTGGTATGTAATTTTTTGTTATATATTGGCATTTTATGCTAAACTTCTATATTTTATGAAAGTGCCAAAATAGGATGAATTGTACCAAAAGTGCCTCTAAGAATGTAAGGGCCAAAAAAGGCACTACAAAAAAATGTTGCGTGTATACATATGTATATATGTACATATGTACGAACGAACATTTCCTTACACTGCAAGATTCGTTTCGTTACTCACATATGTTGGCAACCCACAAGTGTAGACTTTAATTTTGATATGTCATTGTAGAACTAGGATCCGTTATTGTATCCCGTTTGCATATTATTTTATTTCTTTTTCTCTTCCGTCTGCCGATACCTAAGCACGTTGTAACGTAATACGCGGTAAGCCATATAATATCCAAGTTTGTATTTAAGATCTTATAATTTGTATTGTATTATTCTTGTATGTATATTTTGTAAATAAAGATTAAGCTACGGCTACCCCCTCAACCATAACAGTGGCGACGAAGAAAAACAACTCTTTTCGAGCTCAGAGCAATATCAAAAATGGCGACATTAGAGCAGGTGGTTGCGACTCTTCTATCAAGACAGCAAGAAACCGCGGAGCAACAAAAACTGCTCTTGGAACGTTTAATTGCTGTGACAGCAAATTATACCAATGGACAAAATGAGCGGGGCTCACCAACAAACAGTACATTGGGCGGATCAGAAGCTCTAATGGAGACTCTTGCGAAGAGCATACGTGAATTCGCTTATGACCCTGAGGAAGGTCAAACTTTTGCCAAATGGTACGTGCGGTATGAGGATAATTTTAATGTGGAAGCTGCGTCACTGGATGATGCCGCAAAAGTGCGCTTGCTCCTAAGGAAGGTAAGCACGAATGTGTTCGACAAATATCGGGACTATATTTTGCCTGCCCAGCCGCGTGATATCAAGTTCGAGGACATTATTGCAACGCTAAAAAAACTTTTTGGGAAAAAGGAGTCACAGTTCAGTATTAGGGTAAAATGCATACAGAATGTGCGTATGAATGACGAAGAAGTTATAACATATGCAGCCCGAGTCAATAGGTTATGTGAAAATTTTAATCTTCGGGATTGTACGGGTAATAATTTTAAATGTCTAATGTTCCTTCACGGCATGCAATCGGCATCTGACGAAGATCTGCGCGCGAGACTTCTATCTATGCTGGACTCGGAAACTAGTGAAAGACCTTTAACAATCGATAATTTAGTAGCAGAAATACAGCGTATTAAGAACTTAAAAAATGATGCCCTCGTATGTGCTAACCCAACGAAAGTTCAAGCGGTTTCAGAACACAAGCAAGCGAAAGTCGATACTAAGGCATTGCCAAGCAGACCTTGCTGGCAATGTGGTCGTATGCATTTTGTTCGTGAGTGTAGCTTTACCAGCCATAAATGCACGCAATGTGGTAAAGTGGGTCACAAAGAAGGTTATTGTTCATGCTTTTCGGAACGGAAACCGGCGATGGCGAAACGTAACGAGACAAAGAAAAAGAGCAGGAAGCGGAAATTTATTAGAAGCGTATTTACAGCGTGTGAAAATGGTTCTCACAACCGTCGTTTTGAGACCATAGAGATTAATGGCGTGGGTCTCCAACTCCAACACGATACTGGTTCGGACGTAACCATTATTTCCACGCAGAATTGGAAAAGAATCGGCAGTCCTTCATTGCGCTCATGTCAGAAATCATTTCGTGATGCTTCGGCAAATCAAATTTCGATTGCTGGCGAATTTGAGGCAGACATTGTAATGAAAGGAAAGATAAAGCAAGCAACAATCACTGTGTCACCTAACCTTAATTTATTAGGCACAGACATTATCTCGCTTTTTGAGTTATGGGACACTCGCATAACAGAATACACGTCAAGCAGGAACGTTCAAACCAGCAGTAAATTAACACAACCAAATTTGCTTGCGATGTTTCCGAGTATACTTAGAGACGAAATTGGTCACTTCACGGCACAAAAAGTTCACCTACAACTTAAACCACATGCAGTTCCTGTGTTCCGTCCCAAAAGACCGATTGCGTACGCAGCTCGCGACCAAGTTGAAAGAGAACTGAAAAGATTAGAAGATGAGGGTATTATATCTCCAATCAACTTTTCAAAATGGTCAGCACCAATCGTAGTGGTAAAAAAAGCATCAGGCGATGTGCGCATATGTAGAGATTATTCCACAGGTCTCAACGATCAGCTTGAACCTCACACTTTTCCACTACCACTTCCAGACGAAATATTTGTTAATTTCAACGGCTGCTCATATTTTTCTATAGTGGATCTCAACAACGCGTACATGCAGATAGAAGTTGATGAAGATACCAAAAAACTTTTAGTGATCAACACGCATCGAGGGTTATACACATTCAATCGTTTAGCACCAGGAGTTAAATCTGCACCCGGGGCATTTCAACAAGTTATGGAATCACTTCTGTCGGGAATTCCTGGAGTGTTCCCGTACTTAGACGATATTGTTATAGCCACTAAAAGTAAAGAGCAAAACATTAACGCAGTGATTCAGATATTCGAACGTTTTAAGTTACGCAACATCACTGTCAACTTCAACAAGTGCAAGTTTTTTCAGAAGTCCTGTACTTATCTGGGTTATCACATCGATAAAAATGGAATTAGCCCAGATAAGAGCAAAATTAACAAAATTTTGGAACTACCGCCTCCGAAAGATGTAAGCGAGCTTCGAACATTTTTAGGCGCTATAAACTACTACGGTAAGTTTATTAGAGAAATGCGCGCTCTGAGGAATCCTTTGGATGTTTTATTGAAAACGGATTCGAAAGTGGGTTTGGTCATCGCAATGTCAGCAACATTTCAACAAATTCAAAGAACTTCTTTCTTCGGATCTGTTGTTAACACACTACGACCCAAGATTGCCAATCAAAGTAGCTGCTGATGCTTCTAACGTGGGTCTAGGCGCATATATTTGTCACATTTATCCTGATGGTAAGGAGAAGGCAAACGCGCATGCTTCAAGATCGCTTACTCAAGCTGAGAAAAATTATTCGCAGATTGAGAAGGAAGGTTTAGCGTTAGTATTTGCAGTGGTAAAGTTCCATAAGTATTTGTACGGTAGCAAGTTTTACTTGCATACCGACCATAAACCATTGCTGGCAATTTTCGGTAATAAGAAGGGGATTCCTGCACACTCTGCAAACCGCCTTCAGCGATGGGCTTTAACCTTGATGTCTTACGATTACGAGGGAATTCGGGGCTGCAGATATACTATCGCGTCTCATCAGAAACACAACAAGGCCTAACGAAGATACGATCATCGCTTGCTGTCAACTAGAGCGTGAAGTGAAACAAAGTGCAGTCGAAGCCTTAGAGAATTTACCAGTAACGTTCCAGATGATCCAAAATGCAACGTTGAAGGACAAAGTTTTACAAGAAGTCATCTCATACTTGAAGAATGGTAAGTGGCCGAATACGATAACCGACGGTTTACGCAGCTATTATATACATAGAGACGCTTTGGGTATAGTCGAAAATTGCATTATACTCAAAGATCGATTGGTTATACCTTACTGTTTCCGCAAACGTATCTTACAACAATTGCATAAAGGTCATCAAGGAATCGAGCGAACAAAATCACTAGCTCGGAGTTACGTTTACTGGCCGGGACTGGATGAAGAGATTAAGCGATTTGTTCAAGGATGTGGGAAATGCGCTGCTGCTGCAAAGACGTTGCCGAAAACGACTATTTCTTCATGGCCAATAGCAGAACTGCCAATGCAACGCGTTCATATCGACATTGCTGGTCCGGTAAATGGCATTTACTACTTTTTAATCATCGACGCATATTCAAAGTGGCCGCAAATATACCAAGTTAATTCAATAACTTCTGCAAGCATTTTAAATTGTATTGCTGATTTCACGTCACAATTTGGGAACCCAGAGCTAATAGTTAGCGATAATGGAACCCAATTTTCGAGTAAAACTTTCTCAGATTTCTGCAAAAGCCAAGGTATTATTCATAAATTCACTGCTCCGTATCACCCACAGTCGAACGGGCAAGCAGAACGTTTCGCAGATACTTTGAAAAGAGCTTTGAAGAAATTAGAGGGCGCAGGAACGACGAAACAAATCTTGCAAACATTTGCAAACCTATCGAATTACGCCAAATCGAAGTGCACAAGGCAAATCGCCAGCTGAATTGTTCGTGGGGAGAAGGCTAAGGACAGAGTTGGACCTCCTTAAGATTTCTAAGCCACATAGCAATCAACGTAACGAGCGTATGGAACAACAATTTAATAGACAAAATCATGCCCAGGAACGAAGTTATAAAATCGGTGATCCTGTATACGCGAAACTATAAGCTGAATGAATCCTTTTGGGCACCTGGAATAATAACAAAGATTATTGGCAAAGTAAATTACGAAGTAAGAATTGAAAACTCCAACATTTTTAAGGCAGTGAAATCACACGCGAACCAACTACGTTCAAGATTCGTCGAAGCTCCACAGAAGGCGTTGGATATTTTATTCGATTATTTCCGATCTGTCACCGTCATCAGTCTCTGACGCTAGCAACTCACGCGCTTGTATTGCAGAGCCAGATCTCGCTACTTCACAGGAATCGGCTTCAAGTGATACGAGTCAGCAGACTACACCATGCACGAATATGGCAGATCCTCTGAACCAATTGCTACCAGAGGCTAGTACCGATGCTCCGAATGACAACCGCGAACCGGTAACAGAGCAAACCGAGGTTCATCCAGAGCTAAGGCGTTCATCTAGGCGTAAAAGACCTCCTGCATGGATTCCAGATTACCATCTTTTTAAAAGAAGGAAGGATGTTGGCAACCCACAAGTGTAGACTTTAATTTTGATATGTCATTGTAGAACTAGGATCCGTTATTGTATCCCGTTTGCATATTATTTTATTTCTTTTTCTTTTTCGTCTGCCGATACGTTGTAACGTAATACGCGGTAAGCCATATAATATCCAAGTTTGTATTTAAGATCTTATAATTTGTATTGTATTATTCTTGTATGTATATTTTGTAAATAAAGATTAAGCTACGGCTACCCCCTCAACCATAACAACATAATAGTCTCGTTACTCGCATGTTCCGTATATGCACCATCAACGAGAATCAATACAACACAACATATTGTGCGGTAACGAAACTGTTTTTCGTATCGATACTAAAGTGTGTTGCCTGTATATCGTCGCGTTTCTGCCTTAAGGCCTGTATGCAGCTCTCAAGAAAAGAAAAACTCCATATAAAATGACATACAAGAAATGGCTAAGAAATTTTCTTGAGTCAAATTTCCTTACGGCAGTACGCTGTTAAGAAATTTACTACGCTTTCTACTACGGTTTTCTAAAGTTTTGTGCGAAAAAAGAGGACAAGGCAACCCAGGTTTGCAACAGAAATATATGCCCGTTCCATTATTTCGTGAGGAAAGAGTGAGGCAACAGGCTGTGAGGTATCAAAAATGTCAAAATTCCTTGGATACACACACGAAATAATGGGAATTTTTTCTTGACCGTTTTCTTGAGAGCTGCATACAGGGCTTTAACCTCGTATCTGCAATAGAGGTATTTTAGAGAGTGTAAGAAAAAATGCTTAATTTCTTCCCCTAGGATACAATAAACGCATTTTTACTTAATATTTCTGGTTCCACTAACAGTAGTGAGTACCGTCATTAAGTCTTTGTTCTATTTTCAAACAGTGTGGCGCTCAAACAGCTGTTATAAGTGGTAATATTCGTTTTCCCAAAAATTGTAGATACGTGGTTAAGGCAGAAACGGGACGATATGTACGTACTAGCCCGATTACTTTAGACCAAAATTAACGTAAGATTAAAAAAAATTCCGGCAAGAAATTTTTTGAAGCAGTTAGGTGTCTCCTGTTTAGGTGAACACAAAATGAAAATTTTTGCCCCAATTGCGATATGGGAAGTGTCCGCCATCTTGGATCTTAAGTTTTTTACGATTTGCGCGCGAATTTTGCATTTCTCGCGAAAAAAGGTAAACAAATTTGTTGAGAATTCGATTCCTTACAATTTTCATGTGCCTATCAACTTTTTTTAAACAATTACTTATTGCTAATAATATGCAAAAAATGCCCAAAATTAGACAAGTGGCGCGGTTTTTTCGAATTTTTAGCAATTTATATTTGAAGTAAGTGGTACATTTAAATGGCAAAGTTGTAGAGAACAAAATTTCCAATAAACGCATTATTTATATGTTTACGTACGACGTGTAGATCTCGACCAAATACGGGCTCAATGCAGCGGAAAAGGAGAAGCTACTCCAAACTTTTTTCCACACCACCTCAGAGGTAAAGTTATTGGCGCGTTTTATTTCTATGTGGTTTCGTCAGTAGTCCTAATCCACACATAGCTATTTTCGCCACAATAAAACTTTAGAATCAGAGAAAAGCCCTATTGATAAAAGGACAAAAACTATTTGCTAATTACAGTTTCAACTGACTGAAAATAGTTATTCATGGGCTTGGCCTATTGGTGAACCCACAGTTGAAAATACGCGCCAAAAAACACGACCTCCGAGATACTGTGAAAAAAGTTTTGAGTAGCTTTCCTCTGCCTTTGCATTGAGCGCGTTGTTGGTTAAGATCTAGACGTCGTACGCGAGTATATAAATAATGCGTTTATTGGAAATTTTGTCCTCTACCACTTTCCCATTTAAATATGTCACTAATTTCAAATAGAAATTGCTCAAAATTCGAAAAAACCGCGTCACTTACCCAATTTTGCGCATTTTTTGCAATAAATAATTGTTTAAAAAAATTATAGGCACATGAAAATTGTAGGGAATCGAATTCTCCACAAATTTGTTCTCTACGTTTTTTCGCGAGAAATTCAAAATTAGCGCGCAAATCGTAAAAAACACAAAATCCAATATGGCGGACACAGGGGACACCAAACTGCGTCAAGGAATTTCTTCCTGGAATTTTTTCGTTGAAAAAATCTAATGCAAAATTCGCGCGCAAATCGTAAAAACACTAAATCCAAAATGGCGGACTTTTCCCATATCGCAATTGGGGGGAAAAATTTTCATTTTGTGTTCACCTAAACAGGAGACACCTAACTGCGTCAAAAAATTTCTTCCCGGAATTTTTTCGTTGAAAAAATCTAAAGTGATTGGGCTATACATGCATGCAGGATTCCTGTGAGGTACAAGTGCTTGATTGTGGCTGCATTTCTTTATTCATTCTGAACGTTTGGAATAAACTTTTTTGTTTATTTATGCTTTAGAACATTCCTGATGATATGTTGACGTATATTTCAAACGCATTATGTTTATTCCGGCTGTGAAATGGGATTATCCGGAATGTATAAAGAAACGCAGCCTGTATCAAATTGTTCGAATCGATGCAAAAATATGTTGGGTGTATACATATGTATATATGTATGTACATGTATGCATATGGAAGAACGAACATTTGTGAGGTACAACCCTGCAAAAATCGTTGGACCATGTAGTCAATTTGTGGTAAATTGGAGTACTTACAAAAGTGTTCCTCTGTCATGCTGTAGCGGACCAACTCGTGTCTCTGCGCCAGCTTATTGTTTGTTATCCGATAACTGCTCGTGTTTTAACGAAATGTGATTGAAGTTGAGCATTTGAAAGCACATTTGCATGTCTGGCTGTAGCTGAACGTGTAGAGATGCTCGCTGTTAGTTCTTAGCTCCCAGCATGTTCGGGTTCGAATGCCATCAGAGGCAACATGTAATTTTTAATTTTTGTCTTGGTTTTTATTAATTTCGAAAAAGCATTTGAGAAGTGAAGAACAAAAGCGTGTACAAACGAAAAAATATAACAACAATGCCATTGTTAATATGTTGGAGTAGTTTTGTGCTACTCTGATGTAATGCAGGGATGGAGTATATGGTCCTGCCCTAGGACATCGCAATGTTAATTGGACCATATTTTTTATATGAATTGTGGTTAATTGTGGAGTACTCTTTGGTCCTTAGGGAGTACTCTTTACACCATGCATGGAGTATTCGCGATTTTTGCAGGGAAGTGCTTATATCAAAAGTAACGAGTAAAGTAACGATACGAACGATACGGGTGTTGATTGGATTAGTAACGAATACATACGGGTATCCGAAATTTCGGTTCTTTTACAGCTCTAGCAGAAATATTGTATACAAACCAAGGCATAAAAAATAAAGGTGATACTTTGTTTGAACCGCAAAAACAAATGTACCAATTGAATTGGAGAATGTAATTATTTTTTATGCTAAGTACCTGTTCATAGTAAATAAGTAAGTGTTGAGTAATTTGTTCGGAGTTTGAGGATTTTTCATTTGTTTTTGAGGAATTTGGTAATTTTTTGTGGCAACACTGGTAACGTGTTGCTAGAATAACTTTTAAGATGTGTTGCCAAATGTTCAAAGCGTAAGAATATTATAAAGGGGAATAGGACCAAGTAAAGAATACCCATCGTTACGCTAGAAAAAAACTAAAAATAGGAGTTGCGTCCACAGTGTTTTTGCGTAGAATTCCATTCTGCTTAGGCGGCCTTCGGCCGCGCTTTAGGTATATAACCCCTACCAAATAGGATTCGCGGTAATTATCTAGGTAGGCTTTCAACCCCCAAAATTGGACACAATTTTGGAAAGGGGGTACCATTAGACGCGTCTGGACCCCAATAACAAGAATCCGAACGCGGAAATTAACTTTTTTTTACCAGATCAAAAGTTATTAACAAAAAACTTTTCCACAATAGCACTTTTTTTATTCACTTACTACACTCACATAAACGCACAAAATGCCCAAATTTCACTATACATACAACAACAATACTTCATTTTGGTCATATATGTCAAAATATCGCTAAATATATCACTAAAAACTTATATATTTTATTAATTAAAATGTAAACAATTTTCGTGTGCTCAGCGCAAAATTCACCTGCTGATGTGCGGTATTGCCACTCAATCTGAATGGAATAAATATTGAATATGTTTACCCGGAGTACAGACTGTTATGTGGGGTAATTAATTGTGGAAATAACTAAACAGTTAAATAGATATAGATATAGATAGATATAGCCCTTGTTATAGACTCTAGTCCGAATTCCGGTAAGTAACATAAAATAATGTCAGGAGCAGGTAATAATGTACCTTTGTACTATTTAGCATGTCATTGGTCGGTAACAAGAGCAACTTAAATTTAAATCTATTAAATACGTTCTAGCGTGTCTCAGTCCTTTGCCCACAAAAGCGGCGATAACTTTTTTTTTCTATTCCAAGCAGTAAGAGTGGCACCTTTCTGAAATCTTTATTAAATGAGCAATTTTTTTTATGTAATGTACAGTTATAGCTCAGTACATGTTTTTTTTCACCAGAGATAGTCAAAGTTGGGGAAGAAAATATCAAAATGTTAAAAATCCCAAAATAGTCATAATTTTATGATAGATAGATAGATAATTAATAGAGGTATGCACTGCGACCAAAAGGTCTATTGTGCCGTCAACCATTTACAGTACCTCATCTAATCCTAGAGAGCCCCAGGGATTAGCGATTGTATTGCTTTGTCACTTGGCCAGTAATGGCCCAGGTACCCTCCCGTCTTCTCTCGACCGCCTCGCATTCGCTAAGCAGGTGCACGGGAGTCTCCTCATTCACGTCGCAGAAACGACATAGGTCGTTTGACCAGATCCCTAGCTTGTGTAGGTGGCCTCTCAGTCTGCAGTGACCCGTCAGAAAACCTGTTATAATCCGTAGTTTTCCTTTGGATAGATTCAAAGTTTCCCCGTACCTCGTAAGGTTGTAGCCTCCCAGTAGGTGTTTTGCTTGACGTAGACCTGTAGTGTTACGCCAGTGTTGATTCCT